TTTCTTTTTTTTCTTTTCTTTTCTTTTTTTCTTCTTTTTTTTCTTCTTTTTTTCCTTCTTTTTCTTTTTTTTTTTAAAGAGCACACACACACACACACACAGAAAAGCCTGCTAATAAACTCTTAAAGAGGAAATGATCCTGTTCAGTGAAACATGTAATTGCATTAAAAAACATTTGCTCTCATTTGCTGATAAATCCCGTTGCACCCTGTGAGAAAATGATTTTCTGTGCATCGCTGGTGTTAACCCAGTAACCGGGCGGATCAGGGGGAGATCAGCCCTAACCCTAACCCTAACCCTAACCCTAACCCTAACCCAGCATCCCTCTGGCCGCCTGTACTCTGAACCCATAAGATACAGATTTTAAAAATAGCCCTGCGGCTCACATGAAAATTGCCCTCCTACCTTTTTAAGCCAAAAGGTTTCAAGTTTTGGGGATTTGTATATATGGTTTTGCAGCCAATCTCGTAGTATAAAGGGATAATACTATAATACTAGTTAACCCTATAATGCCAAATGTATCATATTTGATTTATACGGTTTCTGAAATGTTTTGCATCTGACACCTTTTGCATAATTTAATGGTAAAAACTTTGCTCAAAATCCTATTGTACACAATCAGATACACCTGATAACAGGGGGCAGAAGACTACACAAAAAATAATCTTGACTTATCGCATAGTAATAAATTATTAATATTAAAAATGTATTTCTGTTTTTTCTTTTTACATATTTTGTTATCAGGCTTTAAAGGGTCAATGATGGCTGTACAGAGCCTACAGGAAAAGCAGGTCTTATCTTAACCCCTTAAAGCCTGATCCAAGAATAAAACAAAAGAGAAAATTACTTTTGGGGGGTTTTAATTCTTTATTTGGTCTTTTAACAAAATATGTAAAAAGAAAAAACAGAAATACATTTTTAATATTAATAATTTATTGCTATGCGATAAATCCAGATTATTTTTTGTTTAGTCTTCTGCCCCCTGTTATCAGGTGTATCTGATTGTGTACAATAGGATTTTGAGCAAGATTTTCACCATTAAATTATGCAAAAGGTGTCAGACGCAAAACATTTCAGAAACCATATGAATCAAATATGATACATTTGGTATTACAGGGTTAAAAACAGAGCTTAATTTCCTACAGACTGGGATTGTGAGCTAACCTCGGTTGTTGTTTCAATACATCACGACGACCGTTAAGAAGAGGATGAGGAGAAATTGTCTATACTGGCCAGAGGAGATTTTTTT